ATATATATATATATATATATATAGAGAGAGAGAGAGAGAGAGAGAGAGAGAGAGAGAGAGTATCAGAATATTAGAGATAAAAAAAGGAGGTAATGCTACTAGAAGTCACTGTGACTGACATACAAACGCTCTTTCATAAAAATAGAATTATTTGTCCAAAACCTTTTTGTAATAAAATCCTAAATACCATAATTATACAACCAAATGAGATGACGCTAGTTGGAATGTGTCCTTCAAATGGTTCAGAAGTTAGGATGATTTTCCGGGGCACTCCTCAAAAAATTGCAGAGAATTAATGTGCTAATATAACAACAGCTTACTACGTACTTTGAGAAAATCAGAGTCTAGAGTCTAAAATAAAAAGTTAGTAACAGTTTTAAAGTTTATCATGGTATTCTGATGTACAAAATAGCGAATCCTCCTCCTTAGTGAACAAACAAACCTTGAATTCCTTAAATGACAATTGGGGAATAACTTTTGGATCACCTGTACAGTCAAAACCATATGTAGTCTCTGGAAAAATGGCCTGTAGAAAATGTTAACCAGATATATTAAACATATATCGAAATGAATAATGAAAACAAAGAAGATGACACTAAGGAAACATAATAACCAAACTGGTAGCTCTCTAGTCATCAATGATAAATGATGACTGTGTAGCTCTTAAGATTTCCTAAGGACATGAACTGAGAGAGAAACAGTTGAGTTCTGATGTAAACCTGCCAAAATGTCAAAAACATAGACAATAAACAATTGGACAAAATGGAAGTAGAAAGAAAACTTGCCTGTCGAGTAGTCTGCTTTAATATACTTATGGGCGCAGGCTGAGAATAATACTTTTTCATCTGATTGAAGACAGCTCCTATAATTAAAAGAAAAAAAAAATTATTTACGAAGAAATTAACACATTTTCATACGTGGAAATTAATGGAATTTATAAGCCAGAAACATGGAACTTTGCCAAAGGAAATGTAATTAAAAACCAGAACACAAGAGAACTGGGAACATCAATCGGATGTGCAACCTTTATAAGATATGTCCCCGAAAGGGTCGTTGAGCTCGAAATGCCAACCCTCCTGCCGGAAAATCTGTATGTCCTCCACACATTTAGGAAAGAAGACGGCGTCGAGGTTCATATCAACCAGATTATAAAAATCCTGATATAAAAATGACGACCTTGTTGTTAGAATACAGAGTAGATACAACAGAGACCCTTTTCCTTAACTTTCACAACCCGTTTTACCTTTGTATGTGTGGAAGTAACTACGTAGCAAGTCCTATCAGAATATATGAATTTTTCCGAAAAATTACCCAAGGTCCCTCCAATCACCTCCTCAAATGGATTTTTCACAGGGTACTTTCTTGACCCACGGTATACACTCCGTTGCAGTATTTGTGAAATTCCAGTGGAATCCTTCCTGCATCAACAGTTAAATAAACAAGGAGGCTTTAACCAAAAAATAAAGATTAAATAGATAAACAAGGAGGCTTTTCCAATTCATTCCAAAACATTTTTTTTTTATATATATGATTCTTGAAAATGCATAAATGGGCAGCTTCATTTTACCACAAAGAAAAGGAAAGGAGACATTTTGGAAGAGCACTCACAGTGGGTTCCGGAAAATAATGCTAAAGACCTTTTCTTCATCGTCGTTGGACATAGAAATGACTTGGGCACCGGTCTTTTTGTGCCGGAAAAGCAAAGCTTTCGACTTGCACTCCCCAATGAACTCTTTGGTAACCTTCTCGAATCCCAGCTTGTCCAAAACTTCATCTTTCACCTCCGAGCACTCTGTACCCACAAGAAAAAAAATCCATTATATCGCAAAATAACAAAAAGATGGTAGCTTGGGATTTGAAAGTGGAACATAGTCATGTTATGTACCAGATGGTGGAGTGTCAGAAGAAGCGGCGAAGGCGCGTGAGGAGAGGCACCTGAAGTGGGTTGTGAGATGGGGGTGGGAGGAGGAAGGGAGTAATCTTATGTGGGCTCGGAGCAGAGAGGGTGCGGAGGGGACGTCCGGAATAGGACGGTGGCGGTGGTTTCTAGGAGCAGAAGCTGAAGAGAAAGAACAAGATGAAGATGATGGTAAGGCAAAACGAGAGATTCGGCGAGGAGAACAAAGCAGAGTAGTAGCTCCCGCCATTTTTATGGCGTCTCACTGTCTCTGAGTGAAACAGTGGGACTGGTAAGAAGGTAACAAGAAGAGGGGGAGCAAATGCAAATGTTTTCCAAAATGGGGTTTTGGGTTTCTAGAAATGGAGAGAGGTGGGTTTATATGGAGAAGCGCGACGTGCCTGTGTGATTACAGAGCTGACCGTACGGGCAGGTAGTGCTGCTGAGAACAATACAGAGCTGACCGTACGGAAAAGCACTTTCGTTTAGTCCAGCTAATTTTCGAGAGTTAACGTATGAATTTGGTGTTTGTCATTAATTTGTGTGCGCATGGGGATGGTTTTGTTTTTTGGTCTAAGGTATGGGGATGGTTTAGGGAGGGAAATATTTTGCTCAAAATTCTTGGTAGGGATGAGCCGAGCCGAGTTTGAAATATGGCTTGTTTGTTGTAGAACGAGAGTTTTAAGCTTGGCTCTCATTTGGGACGAGCCAAGCTTGAGTTCAAAGTGTGGCATAATTTAATATTAAATCATAAAAATAAAAGAAAATCTTAATTGAGAATTAGCAACAAAAAGAAATTTATATTTTTTGTTAACTCTAATAGTATTAATAGTTGAGGAAAGTAGAGTTGATACTCCATAGTTGAAACATTTCAGTCTTTCAGAATTTATTATTATATCCTCTTAGTTATCAATTGGAAATAGTAATGCCAAATTTCAATAAACTTATTAACGAGTAATATTTTCCTGCAACGTATGTGACTTCCACGTAATGAAAGAGATAGACATATAGTTATTATGAGGATACTACATCAACTAATGGTTGATAACAAATCGAAAAGCGCGTGGACAATTGACCAAACCAATATGTATTGTGTAGGCTTGTAGATTAAGAAAGCTCTTAATTAACTTATTATGGGAGTTTAACTTCAAGAATAACATACTTGAAAAAGTTTGATCCTCCTCAAATTTCTGATATTTTTTCAGAGCAAAGAATTTCCATCCAATTTTAAAATGCACTGTATTTTAGATCCTACTTTGCTCGTTCATGCTTTTAACCATTTGCATTAAGTGATGTCCATAAACATTTGGGCAGATCAACTTTCCCATCTTATGAATACCTGACTTTACTTTTTGGTCTGAACCTGTTTATGCTAAATAGGAAAGCTAGGATGGGACTGAAGCTGGGGAAATGAGACAAATAACAGCCATCTGTGGCAAGTTTCAGCCTTTCAGGCAGCTGCTGAAAACCCTGCATATCTGATACAGCCCCAGAAGGCTATTTGAAAACATTTACAAAGCTTAACATCCACGTGTCCAAGATAAGCCAAAATTCTTCAGTAGTAATTATTTATCAATTCAATTTTCTGTCAAATATCGAGTCTAAGCTGATATTTATATATGTTCAGTTCAAAATGAAACTGCGATGGCAATTTCACGAGTTTATATTACCGGCATAAAATTGATTGTAAAAGTGGATAAAGGAGACGGAAAATGAAGACTTTTAACTCACATTTAAGGGGTCAAAAGAATTGGTGGTACACTGCTTCAAAATATCTTTGCTAATCTAATATGACTGCATTGTATGTATTGCTTTGTGTAAAACGGGGTAAAAATGGAACAATAAATTGAGCGTCCCTTGCTGTATAATGGGGGAATAGTGTTTCAGGAAAGCCTATATCTGTAGCATTTTCTGGGTGGGCTTAGAGGGCTTTCTTTACTTCAAAGAAGTTGTTTTGCTCCTTTTGTGCTGCTTCAACGTCATCTGGAGATGCCACTGCAACCACAACCCCTTTGTTTTTTACCGCATCAATTGCCTCTGCAAATTCCTTGAAGTCCTTCACACTGCGGGACAAAGGAATAATGAGTAAAAATATTGGACTAGGAAAAATACTCATTACGTATAATAAAGGTAGCATCGTGTGAGCTGCCTATTGCCCAAAAATGAAAATGGAACAGCTATGAAGATGATGATACTTCGTATGGATAAATATAAGTTGTACGTTTAATCAACTAAGGCATGTTGGCTAGCAGAACATTCAAGTTTCCTTTCTATGGTTCTAATCTAGCTTTTTCGTAAGTACCCCTTGAAAATCGTTGAAAGGGCAGTTAATCAAAATGACAAAGACAGGATAACAACAATGGTTGTTTCTTCAAAAGCACAGCCTTAGTAGTGTCATATCCTTGGCGTGCCTTACAACTTGAATATCAAGTCAACTCATCAACCAATGAACAGAATATTTACCTTGTTGACAATATCTCTTCTCGTCTCCTTTGCCTTTCTTCTTCTGTGACTCCCAGTAAATGCCGCAACAAACTGCAGGAGGAATAAAAGGAGGGAGTGAGGAGAAAAGATTCATACATTTCAGGAAATAAGAAGCAAATTCAGAACCAATGTGACATCACCAACGAGCTATTGTGGCAGGTTGTGTGCAATACATTAGATGTGGAATTATGAGGGGCATACACATGATTGTTTCCAACAATAATGATTAAAAGGAAAAACATTTCCTTCCTCTTCCCGATTCCTTCTGGTTCACAATGACCCTTACATATATCTTCACTCTCCTACAAACCACGAACAGATAGATGTGTACATACCTACTATAACCTTTGGCATCAGGAAGCTGGTACGAATCAACATCGCCAATTGTCCCAATAATGGACTTTGTAAGAGTTTCATCATCCATTTCTAATTGTCGGAGAAAATCCCCAGTTCCATCATATACACCAAGTGTCTTTAACAAGTTGGGGTCGCGATAAGATAAGAAGGAGAATACTCCTACAGAAAATTTCAGAACGTTAGGTAACAACATAAGCAACTGAAACTCCATGTGAACATTTAACAGCGCAAATTTTTACCTGAGTGACTATCAAAGTCACAAAAGCCTCCATATGCCCCACCACTAACTCTAACACGATCCCACAACCATGTATTACTAATGTATTTGGAGATAACATACGCACTCCCATTAAGCTGATAACCAGTGTCGTAAACGTTAGCAGCTTTTCCAACATAATTAACCTGCAGAAGGTAACAGCTTAGAATTATTCCTTCACAAAATATGCAAAAAGGAACCATGCCAAAAAAGAATATTATTCTAACCTGAGTAGGTATAACAATGGCTTCATTTGACGAAGGTAGTCGAGCATTCCAAGTAGAAGTAGCAACGGGAGAGTTGCTAGGCAGCAAATCAAGAAATTTGCTAACAAACTTCTCAGAGTTGGTAAGATTCTTCCCTTCAGCAGTCATATTAACTATGCAACCATTCCTAGAAAGTAAGGATTTGCGAATCTCCTCGAGAGATGAAGAAATTCCATCCCAATCTTGATCAACTTTCTCTTCAAGAGCTTGTAGAAACTCCAAGTAACTAAGCAGACAGAATATACGAAGTTAAATGGCAAGGTCCTGAAATGAACCTAAATCTGCAAATCATTGTATAAGATGTATATTGAACAGCAAGAAATAAGATGTATTTAATGTTAATGTCAATGCAAGCTCAAAATCATGAATGATATTTTCATAAAATTTAATAATGAATGATATGTCCGTGTTTCTTACAGTGCACTTCACAAAGACAAGAGTATACACTGGGAAATGTAGAATATGCAAGATTAACACAAAAGACAAATCACTTGTAAATTCCAGTCCGACCTGACACCACCCATTTGTTCAGAAATCCACCCAGCGACATTTAGCTTTGCATCCATCCTTGCAGCAGCAATTCCATGACCACTACCTCTCAATCGGTTCTGAAAATGACATAACATAAACTCTACGCTCTGATAATGTAAAGGATCAGTTATGTTGAACTTGTCCAAATGAGATTTATAATATACCTCCATTCTGGCTTTGCTTTGGGAAACAAATTGCTTAAACCGCTGCTGGTCTGTAAATTGGACTTCTTGAAGAACACAGTTGAACTGCAATAACATAAAATACTTGCATGAAAACCTTAATAAATATCTGCAGTAACAACTTGAGCAATATACTACAATTAAAATACTAATATATAGGAAAAAGATAATTATACAGTCAATGGCCCCCAAATTGCGAACCTCCCTCCATGTCAAAGGGAAAAAAAAATAAGGGAAGAGTATGAGATAGGTCACTTAGTTTGTTCATAGTGAATGGAATCCTCATAAAGAAAGAATAACCGATCAAACTTTTTTTCTCTTAAAAAGATCCTAAACCTTTTATGAATTAATGCAGAACAATTGAAATTTTGCATGGGATGCATTTCAAATTAAAGTATCCGTCCTTCAAATGGCAACAAGAGATTTAATCTATAATTTTCACATCCACTAAGATATAATGTAAGAGAAAGCAATGATTCAAGTTTTCCACACTAACTTCGCCAATAGCCTCAACTAAGGAAATTCTCTTTTTTCTTTTAAAAAAAAGAAGTTATCTTATGTTTCGAATTAGGCAGGAGTTTTGCATAATTGTTAGCTTCTCACTTATGTGTTTCGCACTTGGATTGTCCTGGATGGACTCCTTGTACGCTCCTTTTGAATTTCGTTTATTTTTTCAATCAAATTCTTGTTCCCTATCTTGAAAAGGCAAAAGTAGGAAAACTTACTAAAGGCATAAAATAATAACTATAATGGGTAGGAAAATGGATATCTTCATTCATCAATCAAATTTTGTTCTTTTCAGTTATTGTCAAATTTTGTGCAGGTGTACACCTCAAGTGCATAAGAATTTACAAAATATTGTCAACTCACGGTAAACTTCATGAGAAGTTAAGAGCAATAAGTAATAACATAATAACTATTCAAACACACACAAGTACATGAAGCCCACTTCATATAAATTATTCCTTAAGTAATGAAACTAGAAATACTCATTTGCTAACTCTGAAAAGAAAAAGGAAAAAAAAAATACCAGGTGAAATAGGTCATCAGCACGTCCTGCCATGGCTTTGCCTCGAACAATTATATGGCTGCAGGGATCTTCCTTGCCACGTACAGATGATGTCATTGGATAAACTGATATTCCTCCAGTTTTCCTCCCAATCAACTGATTAAGTTGCACAAAACTCAAGTCTTTTGTACCCATCTCAAGCAATGATTGGCTGTCAAAAGAACATCATGATACAATCAAGAATACAATATAATTTGCTTTTGAAGGATCTTAATCAGAAAAATAATATTCTTAAAAGAAGCAACTTGTAAAGCTCAATTGATACTTTGAACACCATTGTTACACTATTGCTGTCAGTAAGAAGCAGTTTATTAGTGTGTGCATAATTTGCAAACCACTGTTGCTGCTGCAACAACTACTACCCCTATTGATGCTCTGCTATTAAGACTGTTATATATTACTGTCTTCCCTTTCATAAGTACAATTTGACGGCAATGAATAGTGGACATGAGCATGAGTGTCTTATTCAAAAGTCACAGGGTATTCATACGAAAATATGATATTGAAGAACAAGTAATTTGGAGAGCTTCATGTTACGTTCAGAATGAAACCAAAATAATGAAGAAATCAGGGACTCATTGGAAAGAACATCTTACCAAAAAAGAGGTACCAAAGGAAGAAGCTCTTGCTTTAGTGAACTCATATTGAACACAACTTCTGTGTACAGTACATCATTTGTAAAGAGGTCATGCTGCAAAACTTTCACGCCATTGATATCGCCAACCTACATTTAACAGACAGGTGCTTTTTTATTTACTTAGTTAAATAGAAACTAGCCCAAAAGGAAGTTCACAAAAAAATAAGTAGATAAATAAATAAAACATAAGAAACTTCATGTGATGTTTAACCTCTGTGGGAACACGAGTAGGTTCCTTAGGAATGTCTTGCAGAGAAAGGCTTGGAACACTTCTCAAAGCTTCTGGTGGATCAGGAGTTTCCTGCCTCAGTCGCAGCTCCTGTGTAGCACGTGCTAGCTCAGCAAGATCTTCTTCTGTCATACCAGCTTTAACTTTCTCCAAAATTTGTTTTTCAGCCTCCTCATCACGAGAAGCTTTTTCTGGATCAGGCTGACACGGAAGTTACTTGTTAGGAGTAATAAACAGGGCAAAAACGTTTTGGGAAAAAATAAATAATTGATTACCTGCATTTCTACCACAACTCGATGGCGATTGTTCAAAATGAATTTCTCTATTAAGGGAGAGAAAACAGCTTTAGAGCCTTCCGCTTCTATTCTGGCTTTCAGTGCCAGCAAAGGTTTCTCATACTTTAATGGCTCAAAGGGATCCATATCATATATCCATTTACCCTTTAGAAAGAAAAATTATATTAAGCTCTGATCAAGAAGAAATGGCCAAGAAAGGTGCTCTTTATTGAAATAAAAGCATAGGGATGAAAACTAGACTAAAAGAAAGATATATCATACCATGGATCGGAGCATTAGGGACAAGCCACGAGGAAATGATCCCGTGTTGTTTTCCCTGAGAGAGAACTCAATCGTATTCATGGATGCTTCTACAGCATCTGTATCAAAGCCTTCCTCCGCTAATTTTTTAAGTGTACTCATGACTACTTCTTCTACCTTTTGAATGTCATCTTCTGAAACACCCTTCAACCCAATACTAAATTGAGGTTGAAGGAGCTCATCTTCAACCCCACCACCAACTATGGCCTCTCCCAAGCCACTCTCCAGTAAGATTTTCCTCAATGGAGAAGCAGGCGTTCCCAACATAAGATGATCCAGAAACCCAAGTGTAAGCTCAGTCTCCAAGTCTAGGGGCTTGTCAGAGAGCAACCAGTTGAGGCATACCATGTTTTTCTTCCTTAAATCACCACCTTCACCAGCAGGATATTTCTCAGAAATCCTAATTGGTTCTGAAAATAGTTTTTGAGCTTGAATCCTTGATTCATTTGGAGATGAACTTGCATCAAACATATCTAGGTACTCTGAGAGTGAGAGGGGGTGAGAGAGAGAGGTAAGATACTAGACATATTTTCCACACTTTTGAACTTATATCATTTATCTGAAATTCTAAGTCATCAGAATGAAAAGTAATGACAAAAATGAAACACAAGTCATCCATGGCTTTGCTGTAACTGATGTTCATACAGTTTTCTTAAATTAGTAACCTACATTTTAGTTATTCGAAACAAAATAGATAAAAACTGAAATAGGGGATATTTGTCGATGTACAGGTTTAGCAACCTTGTTTACACAAAAGGAAAAAGTGTTAAATGTACACCACTAAAAGAAATGATAGCATACAGTGTCAGTAACAAGGTCCATTAGTTTAACTGGCATTTAATTTTCATGGTTTAAACAGTTTCTTTCTAGAACTATTGCTTCTCATAAATCGTCTTTTGGGAAAACTCACCCACCTTTTAAGGGAAAAGGCCAAAATAGTCTTACATCATAATCTAGTTCACACGAAACAAAAAGTATTCAAATGTATGTATAAGCAGATCTAAATCAATACCACTCAAAATGCGCAGGCGCTCGGTTGGATCATCATCTCCGTAAAACCAGATCCTGGCATTGCTGGGGTGGTAATATTTACGATGGAACTCCTGTAAATTTTTTTGTCAGAAAGAAAAGCCCTTTTGTTAAATATAATTTAAGATACAACTAAAGAATATTCAATATTTATAAACTGAAACACGAGAATCAGGTAACTTGGCAGGAAGATGGCCACACACATACGCATGGGAAAGAAGGGGGGGAGGGGGAGGGAGGATTGCAAAAAAGACAGTATCTATAGCATGCTGCACAAACATTTAAAAGCCTTATTACATGTGGCATATACCGCAGCACATTCTCCTTTGAAGCAAGCTGATCAGAATATTAGAGGTCAAAAAAACTTATAATGGTACTAGAAGTCACTGTGCCAGATGGACAACAATGCTCTCATAAACAACAAAAGGTTTTTGTCCAAAACCAGTTTGTATTACAACCCTAACTACTGTGCAACCAGATGACATTGGAATGCATCCCTTAAATGGCTCAGAACTTCAGATGTCGTCAGCTGACAACAGTGAAGGAAACATGCTGAAATTTTCCAGAACACTTCTTAAAAAGCTGCGCAGAATGTGCTACTATAACATGAATAATGTACTAAATTCTACAAAAGAATAAGATTCTAAGTTAACAAATAAAAAAGTTGAACTTTCATCAAACAGAAGCACCATAGAAATCAATTAGACCAAAACTTGAGAAATATATGTGCTATGGTCACAATACATAAACAATCACAACTAAGTTTATTATAGTATTCAGAAAGACTAAACAAATAGTATTCCTCCTTAGTTAACACAACAAACCTTGAATTCCTCAAATTTCAGTTTTGGAATGACTTTGGGATCACCTCCACTGTCAACACCATAGGTATTGTCTGGAAAAAGAGCCTGTAGCAAATGTACAAGAAGCAGTTACAAATGGAAACCAAATGTATTATATCAAAAGTATTCTGAAGAAAATAATTAAACAAAAAGGAGATACTTGGTAAACATAATAACCAAGTACTCTAGTCATTCAAAAAAGCTAATTGCCATTCAATGTTCAAGTACTATACGCACCCATGATAACAGATGAATGTATATCTTAACATATCAATATGGATGGCTAGGTATATACCAAGAATAAATTACCAATATACTCCAGCATTCATGACTCCAAATAGTATCACTACAAGCACACTGTTAAATAGATATGGAGCCAGAAGCAAGATAATATTGTATTAAGAAGATAACCATATATAATTGTCACTGCTAATGTTTAATGATGTACGTACACATCTGATTTTACAAAACATTTAGCTGAAACTAATGCGTTTAAACTAAAGCCCACCATGACTTTCTTCCTACCTAGTTAACACGGTTGCTCTGAATTAAACCTGCTACAGTAAGTAGTTCATATTGTTATAGACTAGTACCATTAAAGAGAGGAGATAGGAGAGGGGGAATGGGGTAGAGAGAGAGAGAGAGAGAACAGTTAAGGACTATTCATTTTGGAATCAACAAGAGAAAATGAGAATTCAGCAGGAATATTTGACACATAAATCATAAGTCCATTGGGGCTAATGCAAATCATTAAGACTCCCTAGGAAAATAATTGAGTCAAATATGGGTGAAGCTATAAATGTTCCCAACTGTTAAAACATAAACATGAAACAATTGGGCAGAAAAATAAAAGAAAACTTGCCTGTTGAGAAGCCCGCCCAAGTATATTATCAGGCTGGGAATAGACCCCCTTCATCTCATTGAAAACAACTCCTGAAATTAAGAACAAAAATCATTTAAGAAGAAATAAGACATTAGCTTAATACTTTGGAATCAATGGAATTTATAACCATGATACATCATTTTATGAACTAGGCACATCTATTAAGTGGGCAACCTTTATAAGATATATCTTCGGAAGGATCATTGAGCTCATAATGCCAACCCTCCTGCTGGAAAGTCCGGAAGTCCTCCACACATTTAGGAAAGAAGACAGCATCCAGATATACATCAACAAGGTTATAGAAATCCTGATATAAAATGACAACCATGTTTTAGTTTAGAATACAGAGTAGATATAAGATCACATTGTATTTCCTTTCCAATTCACTACTCGATTTTACCTTTGTATTTGTGGAAGCAACTGGATAGCAAGTCCTATCAGGATATGTGAATGCATTCAGAAAAGTGTTCAAGCTTCCTTTCAACAATTCAACAAATGGTTCTTTCAAAGGGTACTTTCTAGACCCACACAATACACTATGTTCCAGTATGTGTGGAATCCCAGTGGAATCATTCCTGCATCAACAATTAGATAAAAGTACATTCAACATCTTGATTAACAAAGAAAAACAAACAAGGGGGCATTTGCATTCACTTCAAACAACTTGATTTATATAGATTTTTAAGTAAAACATATAATCAGGAGAAAATACAGTATCCCAATTGGTAAATGCTAAGCTCCACTACATAAAAGAGAGATTAAAAGAGAGATTTTTTGGGAAGAGTACTCACGGCGGGGTCCGGAAAACAATGCCGAACACCTTATTCTCGTCGTCGTTGGACACGGAAATGACTTGGGCACCGGTCTTTTTGTGCCTGAAAAGCAAAGCTTTGGATTTACACTCTCCAATGAACTCTTCGGAGACCTTTTCGAATCCGAGTTTCTCCACAACTTCATCCTCCACCCCAGAAAACTCTATGAATAAAAAAACCTCGATCAAAACACAAAATTACATAAAGGGTAGCTAGGGTTTTGAGACGGGAATGTACCTGAAGGAGACTGAGTGAAGGGGGTGGCGATTGCGCGTGGGGCGAGGGATGAGAAGCTTCTTCTAGCGGAGTTGGGGGCAGAGGAGGGGAGCAATCTGCTGCTGCGGCGGAGCGGGGAGCGCCTGCTGGGGTTCAAAATCCGACGGTGGCGGTGGTTTCTGATAGCAGAAGCTGAAGAAGACGACGAAGAACGAGATGAGGGTAAGGCGAAACCAGAGAGGCGGCGAGCAGAGCGGAAGGAGAAGAAGAGTCTGTTGCAGGCGAGAGAAGAGCGAAGCAGAGTTGCTCCCTCCATTTTTCTGTGGTGTCCTGAGTGTCGCTTTGCTGATAAGAGTGAGAAAATGGGTTTCGAATTTTAATGGCGTTTTTTGGTTTTTTCGATTGAGAGGGAAATATCTGTGAGGGTAAAGCGTATGGAGTTGGAGTTTGTATATCGGGTGGTGTGGGAAGTAGCAAAGTTTTTGTTCTTCCCTTTGCTTTCTTGCCTAGTGTTGCGTAGATTTAGCTCCACCAAAATGAATTAAGCTGCATCCTCAACTTGTGATACTCGCAAGTGCACGAACCGTTGGTAGTATAGCATATGTAAGTGCGAGGTCGATT